AAGCCCTCACTTCTCTGAGGTACAGCTTCTCTTACTGGCTGTAAATAATGATGGGTTTCTAGAAAGAAGGGCTACAATCTGAGGGTAAACCAGTATTTATATCTGTCCATCAACTCATTACTTTTCAGCATTATGCTTTTCCTTCAAGCATTAAATATATCGTCATGTATTAGCACACTTAACTTCTATTCCCCATCTTGCCTCTCTACACTTACGTACAAACATTGCTCCAGAACTGTTTGAAGCCACGGAGAAAACAAATCACTGCAGGTGAAAAGGAAACAAGATGCGTTTGGATGGGTTGGTGGAAAAAAATATCCAGCTTAGATAAATTCACAAAAGATTCTGTCAATTGTCTCTTTTTCACTGAATTTTTTTCTGAATCACCTAAGGGATATTATTTAGCTTCTTCGATACTAATTTAACAATGCAAAGTGTGCAGCAGGTTGAGTTTCCTCAAACTGTAAAATGAGCTGAGCTTTATGTTTTCCTTTTTTAACTGATCGATCTCTGTATTTCTAAAAAGAAGAAGAAGAATGTTATAATGTTAGCTAATTGTGTGCAAATTAAATGCAGAAAGGAAGAGATACAACACACATACTCTCTCCTTAAAATCTTACCCTGAGGGATGACTTACGCAGGAAGAACACAGCAATACAATCTAAACGGTGACACGCAAAAAAATATTACTCTACATTAAATGATTTTTTACATGTCATCTGCACTGCAATGAGATATAGTACAATACATTGTAATGCAGATGGCAAGTTAAATAACTTTATGCATGTAGGACAGGTTCTTTCAATTCTAGAGTGATATCTTTTTCCTTTTCTGAAGGAAAGTAAAAAGTAAAAAGTAAAAAGTAAAAAGAAACTGTCTCTCACTTTTCCTGTGGACTAGCTTACTCAGCTATTCCTCTGCTCTTCCTAGATGCCAATCCAGCAAAAGTACTGATGGTTATTGCATCAAAGGACCAGTATATATGGTCTCATCAGAGATTCTACAGCAGCAGAGAAATACAGAAGCAGCAGGCATTCAAGCTAAAAATCCTGCAAGGCCTCATGGAAGCAGATGAAAATTTCTGTTTTATAGCACAAACACATCTTCTCCAAAAGTCACTGGAAATCCTACTTACTAAATTTGACAATTCCCAAGTATGACACACAGTTCCTACACTCTTTCTCCAGAATACACATCTATAGCACTTGCCTTCTCATTCAATTCGGAAAGTTTCAATGAAAACAGCACTACTCCAGGATAACAGACTCAACTTTTGCACGTGTCATGTCTACAACTTATTATCACCAATTCACTGCAACTCAGAATAAAAAAGCCCCAATCTTTATATTCTTTGTACAAATGGGAATGTATGGAGCTTGTTATATATACATATATCACAGTACATTTAAATTAAGCCCTTGCTATCCAATCTCATTTATCCAGGTGGGAAAGCTGTTACCTTCCTTATTCATACTTCTCTCTGCTCCACAGACTGAGTATTAATTACTCTCAAATAGTCTGATTTATTAGAATTAATATTAGATTAATTAGATTATCTAAAATAATCTAAAACTATTAATTAATTACAGTAAATATATTAGAATTAATCACAGTACAACTATTGCCAGAATGTGTAGCCTAAAAACTGTTGCTTTTTTTCTGACCTAAAGTATTAAGAATAATGTTGCTTCATAAAAATGATCTTAAGTACCTAAGAAATATTATTTAAATATCACAAACCCTGTGAGAGGACACTCACATACTAAACAAAATGAAATTCTCCAAAGCAGTCTTTGCACTTGGATGTCTCAGTATTGAGGCACAGAGGCTCCAACGCTTCATAATACTTAACTGCTCTTATGAGAAAATATGTATCAACTAAAACCTAGCGATATTGACTAGGCTATCTTACAAAGCACTGCTGTGAAGATAAATCAATAAACACTACCTCCTTGCTGTGGCTGACGAAGCAGGAACAAAAAGAGCACATAACTTGGCCAGGAGCACAGATTGAACTGGCAGCAGAAGAGCACCAAAATCCAGATGATCTACCTCAGAATCCTACTCTGCCTTTCTCCAAGCATGTGGCTTTACTGCAGTGATAGCTCTCAGGTAGCTCTTCAATTAGAACTTGGCACCTTTAAAAAATAAGCAAGCCCTCAGTGTCTCAACTTGGAAGGCACAGAGGAGTGGTCATCTATTTTCTCCAGTGGTGAAGCTCTCCAATATTTTTTAAGCAATTTGTCCAGACTCTGCAGGAAATTTAAGGCTGAGGTGGACCTTATTCCTTGGGTGGTATTTACCTGCTCAAACAATGACATGGCTTTCATGCTGGCCTCAGTTCATAGGTTCATCCAGCTAGCCCTAATATACTAAAAAAATACTAATTTCAGAAGATTCTAAGAACACTCATCTTTCCACAGATCTGTATTCTGAGAATTGGCTGATATGTCCTGTCCAAAGTTATATTTGCTTTTAAATGAAATGAAAAGCAAAATGAAAAATTAATTACTTCAATGAAAATAACATGGTCAGGTGTTTTATGTTTTTTGCAATCTGTTCCCAGCACACAACTTTAATCCAAAAGCATCATTTGTTTCTTATCTGAGCCTCTCCCATGAGAAAAAAAGCATTAATTTCTGAGAAGCTTGTAGCAAGCAACACACCACTGTTACCTCCAGTGCAAGCTGGATCACTTGCTTCCTGATTGCATTCTGTTCTCTTGGACACTCTTTCTCACCAGGTTACTCTTGTTCTGTGCTTTGCAGTGTTTAAAATCAGGCAGTTTGATTGGACATAGTTGAGAATTTGCTTTTTCAATATATTCCTCTGTATTCTAATCCCCTGTGCTCTTCAGACTCCCTTAAATATATTTAAGAAAGAAAATTAAAGAAAGGTGACTGTATATCAAAAGCAGTCACAGGCTCTTCCTCTCTCTCCCTTCATTTCTCAGCTACTGAAATGCCATCTGTTTTGCTAGTTAAGGTTTGTTTGTTTGTTTGTTTTTTATAACTGTTTAAAAAAGCCAACTGGAAACTTAAGCCAATCAACATTTTAGTGTATAACTTGGCCCACACAGTTATTTTTACTGAGATAGGCTCTGAGCAAATATCAGGCCTCCTGCTGTGGAAATACTACCACACAGTTAGTCCTGTCTCGGTGGTAATAATTATGTGTCCAATTTGGACAGCAACCAGAGGAGCTCATGGCACACAGACACAAACCACAACATATTGTTACAGTATCTCCTTTAATGTTCTCAATTATACAATTAAGCCAGTCAAACAGCAATATCACTTGTTCTAATGGCACAATAAAGCATCCCAAAGTATATGACTACACCAGAACAGCTTAGCTAAACGAGTTGCTTAAACACACCGCTGATGCAGTGAAAGCTGCATTAAGCTAAGCTATTGCTGTTCTGAAATACATAACCATATGCTTATGTTCCTCTCGCTTGCCATCTTTCTCTAACTATTATCATTTTAAAAACAAAATCTTTGTTACAATCAAAGTCAGCAAAAAATCAGAACCAAATACTGCATGGATCTAGTGTAACGTGATCATCATGAATGTGAATTTATCTCTAAAATACCAAAAAAGGGGCAAATAAACTATTGTAGAGTCGTATCTTTCTTCAAAATGCACTGCAGAACATGAATTGTAAGAAAGTATATTCTTAAACTGTTACAGGAATCATAGGCATAGAAAACTGATTAAAATTTACAAATACAGTTCTCTGCATTTTGATTAACAGAGAAGGCTCCAGCAATGCAATGACTGTTTCTGCAATGCACCAGGTGCTAATTCAAATGCGGCAAACAAAACTAAATTTTTATGACAGCTTAAACTTTGGCTTACTTTCAGAGATGACAAATTAATACCAACCTTTTACTCATGTAGAACCTGCTTGTTATATGTTGCACAGAGACCACCAGTTAATTCAGCATGTAGACATGTTTATGTCCACCCACCTCTCATTATGTTGCTGCACGCAAACACTACTGGACTAATGAATGTTTTAAAACTAGAATAAATTGAATCAAAACCACTCACAAATAGAAATCATACCCATATCTCACAGTTTGTTTTCTTCCCCTCAAATTTATCTTCCCTTCTTAGAAATATGAACTGCTCTTCCTTATCTCTCATTTGCCCACGATGCTGTGGATGCCCCATCCCTGGAGGCATTCAAGACCAGGCTGGACGTGGCTCTGGGCAGCCTGGTCTGGTGGTTGGCAACCCTGCACGTAGCAGGGGGGTTGAAACTACAGGATTACATTCCTTTTCAACCCAGGCCATTCTGTGATTCTATGATTTCTTTTGTGCTGATTGAAGTTTCTCAGTCCATTTCTAAGCCTTCCTCTTTAGTCTCTCTTCATGCTTTCCACCATCTATTTTGTAACACATAACAATGGCCCTGGTAAAAGTGATATATATAGAGTTCTAAAAATAAGTGATGTTTCAGCTGGTCCTCCGGTAATTTTGTAGTGGAGAAAAGCCTCCATGAAATATTTAATCTTACTTGAATGTGAATCCGTGTTTTAATCTGTTTTTGAATAAAATAAATTATATGATGATATTTATATTTTGAGCAAGTCAATATACTAAAGCAATATGTAATCAAAGAAAATTTGAATGACATAGAACCCATTTCTTTTACATAGTGGAAGAAATCTTTGTCTAAAATGCTTTCTCCAAATCCAGGTCCATACAGACAACACCAGATGAAGACAGAAGCAAGCTATGGGGACAAGAGATTCACAGCAGAATACTATTACCTCTAAAACTAGGAACAGAAGAATTCCAGTTAGAGAAAATAAAAAGGTTAGTGAGGTCCTTAGTCTAATCCATTCCCTCCCACTAAGAAACAACATCTAAAAGAAAGAAGAACAGGAAACCCCAAACATATCCCAAAGGAAAAAAGAAAAACAAACAACTAAATGGCAACAACAACAACAAAAAACTGTAAAAATAAAAACAAAACAAAAAACACTTACTGTCTTCTTCAACTTTTTGATGGCGTAATGTTTCTGGGTCCCTTTCTGCCTGCATCTGTAGACAATGGATGTAGCCCCACTAAATCAAAAAAAAAGAAAAAGAAAAAAAAAAAGAAAAAAAAAAAAAGGAAGAATAGTTGTACATACATCTCTTTGAATACGTCAACAAACAGATTTCCCTAGCTAACATTTTCTACTTTTCCCACACCAGGTAAAAATATCTCATTTTCCCCCCATACATGGAACAAAAACAGCAGTGAAATGTGCTCTCTATAAAACCAGTGCAGTTCAATTATTATTCAGGCAATAGAACTGCAAGTGCTCAAGGTGCCTCTTTGCTTTTGTTAAGGCCATTTGCAACAATTAAGGCAGATGTTTTGTTTTTTATTGTGTCGTTCTTCATTTGTTTTTCACCACTACTGGCAGCAATGGCAGGGGAGATAGAAAAGAGGAAAAGTACTGTGGTACTTCCTGCCCAGTTGTCCAAATAGTGAAGTACAGCAGCAAATGAAGCATGCAGCACTCTGATTAATTCAGTGGAAACTGAAGAGGTTTGTTCAAAGCAAAACCAAACAACTTGGGTGTAGAGCTTCAGTTCCTTTTCAAGACCCACCACAAGCTAAATAGGAGCACTCATAATATAAAGTTATGGCATCTGTATCTGGAAGACATTTATCAGGGTGGGAGGTCAGACTACATTCTCCAGAGATCTAGAACAGGGTGTCTCAGCAGCTTTATTTGTTACTTACAAAGTACTACTTTTGTATTCTGTGAACTAGCTAAACAGAGGAAAAACCTCTGGCTAAACCATACTGGTTATAAATGATTCAGATTATTCTCTATAACTGTATAACATTTGTGTTCAGACACCTCTGAATAACTCAGTGTCAGCCAGTAGTAAAATGGACGCACTGAAGTGCTACATCTCAGCACAGCATTTAAGGCCCTCTGAGACCCAACAATAGCACTGACCGTATGGGCCAAAGCAATGAAGTCTGTCCTCAAGAGACGTATCATGCTTTCTAAGATCCAATAATTAATTCCAAAAAGCTGGACATTTTTAAGCGAGAGGGGACTGGCTCTTACCATATCAATTTCCTGAGTAACATACACTCATATAATACACATCATACAGCCAACTGTACTGCACATAGAATCACAGAATCACAGAATGGCGAGAGTTGGAAGGGACCTCAAGGATCATGAGTCTCCAACCCCCCTGCCACATGCAGGGCTGCCAACCTCCACATTTAATACTAGACCAGGCTGCCCAGGGCCCCATCCAACCTGGCCTTGAACACCTCCAGGGACAGTGCACCCACAACCTCTCTGGGCAGCCTGTTCCAGCACCTCACCACTCTCTCTGTAAAGAACTTCCCCCTGACATCCAACCTAAATCTTCCCTCCTTCAACTTAATACCATTTCCCCTTGTCCTGCTATTATCTACTCATTCAAAGAGTTGAGTCCTCTCCTGTCTGTAGGCTCCCTTCAGGTCCTGGAAGGCTGCAGTGAGGTCACTCCTAAGCCTTCTCTTCTCCAGACTGAACAAGCCCAGCTCCCTCAGCCTGTCTTCGTAGGGGAGGTGCTCCAATCTCCTGACCATCTTTGTGGCTCTCCTCTGGATCCTCTCCAACAGCTTCCTGTGTTTCTTATACTGGGGGCTCCAGACCTGGAGGCAGTACTCCAGACGGGGGCCTCAGGCAGGCAGGGTAGAGAGAGGAAATCACCTCCTTGTCCATGCTGGCTACTCCTTTTCTGATGCGGCCCAGGATACCATTTGCTTTCCAAACTGCAAGCACACACTGCTGACTCATGTTCAGTTTTTCATCTACCAGGACCCCCAGATCCTTCTCTGCAGGGCTACTCTTAAGGACCGCTCCTTCCAGTCTATATTGATGCCTGGGATTCCTCCGGCCCAAGTGCAAAACCTTGCACCTTGCTGTATTGAACTTCATTACACACATCTCTTTCAACAAGAAGAAATCCATGCCAGTACATCTACAAGAGATGGTCACGAGCAGTAGAATGACACAAACAGCTTGTTTCTGTAGCCTCAAGGTCATTACAGGAGGAGGCTAGGAAGCTTCCTGCTGAACCTTGGTAAGCCTTCTTCTGAATCAGCACATACAGCCTTTCAGAGACTGTATGCCTTGGAGGGTCATAGTGATTCAAGACATCATCACCAAAAGCATTAGGAAGCATTGGACCATGACTGCGAACAGTAGCACCCTCAAAAGCTTGAACGTTATTCATATCAATGAAACATTTCATGGACATATTTTGCCAGGAAATAAAAATGTAAGAAGCAAAAACCCTTGTGGCAACATGTGCATTATTTTCTGCAAGCATTCTCTACTACATGTGAATAATACATTTTAACAGTACTACAGAAGAGAGACCACCTATACTCAATGGCTTGGGCACTTCTATGATAAGCAACAGATACCACAACTAGGGAATATTTAATCCTATGGCACGAATAGTTTCAGCAGAAGAAACTGAGAGGACGTTAAGCCTGAGCAATTGGTAATCACTTGCAGATCCATATAGCAGAATGTGCTACATCCATTTCCAACTCAGAGTAGAAACATGAAATTAAATTCACCATACTCCATATGAGACTGACCATAAGAGTACTCACTATATGGTGTTGACATATTTCAAATTAATCCTACTGATTCTTCCCTCTTCATAGTTAGTAAATATATACATACATATACATGCAGATATGTACATATCCAGTTGTGAAACTGAGAGAAAAGGCACAGTCACAATTCAAGTATGCAAAGTCAGAAATAGTGTGTACACAGACGGAATGCCCATGAGGGAGATTATGGAGACAGAATTGGTGAACAGAACTTGCACATAAAGGCAATATATGATAAAGTATATTTTGCAGAACAAGGCTTGGACTCACGGTAGAGATTGGCAAAAAGAAAAGCCAAAGCAAAAAAACACTCAGAATTTGAACTGGGTGAGAAAACACATCTTTCTTGCCCAACTCAAGAAAAAGCCCTTCTACCTCTGAAACAAGAGAATCAAAATAAAATAGTTGCACATTTATTTGGTCACAGTCAGAAAAGGTAAATTCCTACAGCTGCAATCTTTGTAATGAAAGAAATGGCACTGAGAATATTTCCACTAGACACAGTAAAATGATATATATATATTTTTTAAATAGGTCAGCAATGCCATACTGTGCCACCCTTGGTTATATTCTGCATTTTGAATCAACTCAGTACAAACACACTCCTGCATGTAATCTCCTCTAAATTTAATTTGGATTAAATTCCTTAAGTTCTGAATTGATTTTTTAAAAATAAATTAGTTTGTGCTTCATGCAGTCAAAGAACGATTACACGATCTAGTTTGTCCAATTAAATTACGTGACAGAAAGAACGTTCTATGGCTATGAAGCCACAGAAATCATTGCTGCCAGCACCACAGTAATACTGAAGTCGTGTCGGTTCCCATGGAGAATACTGAATTTTTATGTAGCCTGCAGAGGTATGAAGTCAAAATGCATGCATTTTCTTCTTATATACACACAATAGGAGGATCAAATGATCAATGAAATTACTGACTTCAAAATTAAGCTCCCTGTTCAAATATCAAGATTGCTCAGAATAAAAAAAAAATGATACAGAAAACTGACAATTTAACAAATGTCTTGGGAGTCTGGCAAGGTCCCTGCTGACTAGAAAGTAGCCACTCTCCTGATAATGTTTAACTGGGAAGTGTTTTAAACTCCCCAGAATGATGAGAGGCCTTCCAGAGACATCCAGACAGGTTGAAGCACAGGGCAATTAGAAACAGCCGGAAGTTCAGCAAAGGCAAATACTGGGTGCTGCATATGGGACAGAGTAATGTCAGACAAAGATACACACATGAGACAAGCAGCTGGAGAGCAGCTCAGCAGGAAGGGACCTCAAGGTGCTGCTAACAGCAGCTCAGCATAAGCATCAGTGTGCCCTGGAAGCGAGAACAGAAATACCACATTAAACATACCACAGCCAGCAAAGCAAAAGAGGAGATTCTCCCACTTCCTTAGTGATTGTGACTTACAAGGAGCAGATGAGGGAGCTATAATTGCTTAGTCTGAAGAAGAGGAGGGTTAGGGGAAATCTTACTGCTCTCTCCAACTACCTGAAAGGAGGTGGTAGCAAGTTGGCGGTCATCCTCTTCTCCCAGTTAACAGTGATGAGAGGTAATGGTGTCAAGTTGCACCAGGGGAGATTCAGGTTAGATATTAGTGAAAAAATTGTCTCTGAAAGGTGGCAATGCATTGGAACATGCTACCCTCCATTCCTGGAGGTTTTCAAGAAAAGGGTGGATGGCATATTTAGTGACGTGGTCTTGAGCAGACACAGGCATGGGTTGATTGTTAGACTAAATGATCCCATTGGTCTTTGCAACTTCAGCGATTCCACGATTCACCTTGAATATTACATGCTGTTCTTGGCTCCACAATATAAAAAGGATGGTGAGGTCCTTGCAAAGGCACATCCTAGTTAAGAGCAACTTCTAGATTTACATGTTCATTGCTAGGAAATACCACTGGTGCTGTGAGAGGTCACAGATTGGTTCATTAGCTACATAATTTGTGGTTGGAAAAGATTTGAGCAGCTTCTCATTCCAGTGTCTCAACAAATGTGCTTAGTTTCCTGATGAAACTAGTCACTATCTGTTACCATCTACTCAACACAGTTTTTGAAATAATATTTACACTTCCCATATAGTGATTAACACAACTAGCTATTCCAGTTCCCCCATATTTTTTTCACCAAAAGTCTCTAAAATTTTGGTCCTAAAGAAGAAATACAGCTTCAGCACATTTTCTGTTATCAGAAAGGCCTAATGGTATTAATATTAAAAAAAATCAAGAGTTAACCCCTGTTTATATCTATTATTATCCTGAACAGAGTATGAAGATGTTAAATTGTTCCCCTAAGTTTCAAATCTACTCCTATCAATTATAGTGGCAGAAAGTCAGAACTTCATATTTTGTTCATTAGAATGAATTTAATTTGCAAAGAGTTAACAGTAATTACCCATGAACAAAGATTTACGGGTAATTA